TTTTTTTTTTTTTTTATCAAAAAAGTTCGCGACATGCTTTTCTATAATTTCTTTCTAGTTTTTTCACTTTTTTTCCATCTTAATTAAAATTTTGACAAACCTTCCAAATCAGCAATTGGAGTTAAAAACAAAGAGAACCAGGCACGATGGAAAGTTCGCCGGAAAAGTTCTGGATTCATCGGGTAATCTGGGTAAATGACAGCATGTATGACAATTCCACCACTTATTATCACAAGTAGAGTCATTCTCATGAAGTTCAAAAAGTCTACAACAACCTGTAGTACAAAAACAAAAATTTTTTGCAAACTAAAATCTAATAAAGGTAATAAAAAATCTATTATTTTTTTTCAACTCGTCAACTCGTAGGGGCATACAATCTCCTTGTAAATTATTATTAAAAAAAAAAGGTAAATGTGAATAGTAACAACTGCAAATTAGATTCATTCAGTAATTTTGTTATACTAAAATTAACAACACAAAACAATATTAAGATGTAAAATAAAAAAAATGTGGCATGTCATATCTAGAAGGCAAAGTATAAGATTTCAAGTACCTTTATAATTATCTATATCACAAAAAAAAAACATTGAAAGATTTTAAAACATCTCCACATAATTATGAACAACAAAGCATTATTTTCTATTACACATTACAGCTTATAATCGATGATTACTAAACAATTTTGAAATGTTTGTACGGACACTAAATCATAGTTTTACGATGAAGATTTGTATGTCAAAACATAAAGCCAAATTCTTAAAATATTTCATTGGTTATCAAGTCAAACTGGTTAGCATAATTTGGAACCCTTTCAGGAAGAGACTTAATTATTTCTGTTTATTGCAATAAAATATACATTTAAAACAAAATTATTTAACTCAAGTCAATAAGCCCAAAATTCTTAATAATTCTATTAATTTACAAAATCAATTAAATTCTATATCGATTTAGGGTTAGAACAAGCTATCTCCTTATTAATATTAACAGCACTGCATCCATAACACTCTGAGCATTATTACTATATATATAACTGCAGTACATACCATAAGCTTGACTCTGTATAAAAGTGGTCCTAAGGTTGGCGATATTGGCAAGTAAATGGCTATTAATCGGTAGTAGAAATACAAAAGAGCCACACAAAGAAGCACTTTAGTAGCATAAGTATCTAAGAACATTCCGACGTAAAATATGCGACCCACACTGTAGAGGCATACAAAGATTATCATCAGGAGGATTTCAATACACTTGAAGAACAACGGAATACTGCTAAATTTCTGTAAAACAAAAAAAATATCTTTTATTTTTTTTATGAATGTTTTAAAAAACAATTCTTATGTCTTAAAACACAAACTAGAATAAACTGTTTTCACAAACAATAAGAGCAAGGTATATCTCCAGATTAGTTCTTTGTAGATTACTGATGTACAGATGCTATGTTCATACTAAATATGACATTAAAACAAAGCTAAAACATAAACATTATTCAAAAGTTTCTGTAACTACAATTTTTCATTAAAAGAATTATTAATGAAAAATAAATAAACAATTTATTGCTATTAATGGTTTCAAAAAATAACTCTCTTAAAAGTAACTTAACATTAAAACATTCTAAATTTGAATATAGAATTGTTTAACTGGAAAAAGAGGGGGAAATCACTAATATCCCTTGACTTTTTTATTTTTGTTTTTGTATTTCGCGCAAAGCTACACGAGGGCTATCTGCGCTAGCCGTCCCTAATTTAACAGTGTA